GTCCAGTGGTCCTTACTGGGCACGCAGACGCTTCTTGGGCTGACGACCAGGCTACGCAGCGGTCGTCACAGGGTTACACCTTCAGCCTTGGTTCCGGCTCTGTTTCGTGGCGGGCTACTCGCTCGTCTTCTGTTCTCGGCTCCAGTTGTGAGGCTGAGATCTACGCAGGAGCCATGGCTGCACAGGAGCTTCGCTGGCTCACCTACCTGCTGACTGACCTCGGAGAGCCGCCTCGTTCTCCTCCAGTGCTGTACGTAGACAACAAGGCCATGCTGGCCTTGTGTCGGGAGCAGCGACTGGAGCACAGAACGAAGCACATTGCTCTCCGCTACTTTCTTGCTCGTGAGCTGCAGCAGCGTGGTCAGCTGCGTCTTGCGTACGTGGCCTCTGAGGCCAACACTGCTGATATCTTCACCAAGGCGCTTGCGCCTTGTGACCATCAGCGCTTCTGTACTCAGCTGGGCCTTGTGCCTACCTTGCCTCACTTGCTCACCTCTTGACCTTGCTTGTACTGTTACATATATATATACCTGCTCTTGCTTGTCTAGTCTTTTTATATATATGTACTCCTGCATGTGAACTGGCCTTGTGGCCTTGAACTTGTGCTTGGAATGTGTGGTGACTTTGTGATCCACCCTGAGCTTGCTTTGCTTTGCTTTGCTTGACTGGTCTTGTGACCCCTTGTTCTCCCCCACTTTGCCTATGGGGGTGTGTCAGAACATTATAGCTCATGCATATTGTGTAGGCTATAGTGGGGTAGCCCATAAGGGGTACAACCCAATTAGGGTTAGTACTTGTACCCAATTCATTCATAGTTCATTCATTTCCTTGTTTCTTCTCAGTGTGTTGGCCCCGTCCCCGCTTGGGCGGGCCGACTTCGTGGTCGGGTGTGAGGGGTGCAGCCGACCTGCAGCAGTGGGCGAGCTGGTTGACGAGGAGGTCGACCTGCACGGGACCACTGCACGGGCGCCGACTTCAGGGAGGTCGACTTGGGAGTCGACCTGCGGAGGACGTCAACTTGGGGAAGCCGACTTCGGTGGTCGGCTGACGGACTGCTGGTCGACCTGGTGGTTGGTCGACCAGGCCTGCTGGTCGACCTGCTGGTGGTCGACTGGACCTGGTGGTCGACGAAGGAGGGGCCGACGTCGACCTCGACTCAGGACGCCGAGCAGTTGGGCGTCGAGTAGCGGGGCGTCAACCTCGTGACGCCGACTTCGGGTGGCCGACGTGGGTGGTCGGCCGACAACGGCGTTGGTCGACGAGGAGCTGGTCGACCAGGAGTGACGTCGACGTGGAGCTGGTCGACCTAGGGGCATGGTCGACCTGGTGAGGTCGACTTGGTGGTGATCGTCGTCTTGGGAGGTCTTGGTGGATACCTGGGTGACGAGGTTCTGCGGAGGAGTGAGACGGTCGCCCAGGCGAAGTTGGCGAGCCCGACCTCGGGGGTGGTATCCTGAGGTCGACGTGGCCGATCAGTAGCAGTCGTCAGCGCGAGGTTGACGTGGTGTGTGCGCTGTGCAGGTGACGAGACTCTGCACGCCAATCATTTGCGCGCATCTGCGAAGTGGGTGCGCTGCTGTTCTGCGTGAGCAACGCTGGCACGCCTTTCAACCTGCGACGTTGGCACGCCGTCGACCTTGCACTGCTGGAGCGCGGTCGACCAAGTCGTGCTGGAATGCGGTCGACCAAGCTGCGCTGGCAGTTGGCCGACTTGAATGTTTGCTCTGATGTAGTCTTGTCATGCCAACTTCATTGTACCATTGTTCTCAACTTTTCCTAGTGAAACTCTTGCCAACTTTCCCTGTGAACTAGCAGGTAGTGTGCGCACAAGGAAAACGACTAAGGACTAGCGAACGCAGAGATCACACGAGCATCCGTGCATAGCCCGTAGTCTAGCTCCCGTTGTAGTAGTTAGAGTGATGCGGTGGACCAGTCAAAGTGATGCGTTGGGCAGTCTGGTCAGTATGCGCACCTATAATGGGCGTACCACGCAGAGTTCAGGCGCTCAAATTTTGAGAACCACATGGAACAAAATGGAAACACTTGTTGTGGATGTGGAAAATAGTCTAATCTAGTGGACTAGCGCAAAAGAAGAGGCATCCAATGCAGTGGACCAGTCAAAGTGGTGCGTTGGGCAGTCTGGTCAGTATGCGCACCTATAATGGGCGTACCACGCAGAGTTCAGGCGCTCAAATTTTGAGAACCACATGGAACGAAATGGAAACACTTGTTGTGGATGTGGAAAATAGTCTAATCTAGTGGACTAGCGCAAAAGAAGAGGCATCCAATGCAGTGGACCAGTCAAAGTGGTGCGTTGGGCAGTCTGGTCAGTATGCGCACCTATAATGGGCGTACCACGCAGAGTTCAGGCGCTCAAATTTTGAGAACCACATGGAACGAAATGGAAACACTTGTTGTGGATGTAGAAAATAGTCTAATCTAGTGAACTAATGCAAAATAAGAGGCATCCAATTCAGTGGACCAGTCAAAGTGATGCGTTGGGCTGTCTGGTCAGTATGCGAACATATAATGGGTGTACCACGCAGAGTTCAGGCGCTCAAATTTTGAGAACCACATGGAACGAAATAGAAACACTTGTTGTGGATGTGGAAAATAGTCTAATCTAGTGGACTAGCACAAAAGAAGAGGCATCCAATCCAGTGGACCAGTCAAAGTGGTGCGTGGGGCAGTCTGGTCAATATGCGCACCTATAATGGGCGTACCACGCAGAGTTCAGGCGCTCATATTTTAAGAACCACATGGAACAATTGTTGCGGATGTGGAAAATAGTCTAATCTAGTGGACTAGCACAAAAGAAGAGGCATCCAATGCAGTGGACCAGTCAAAGTGGTGCGTGGGGCAGTCCGGTCAGTATGCGCACCTATAATGGGTGTACCACGCATAGTTGAGGCGCTCAAATTTTGAGAACCACATGGAACGAAATAGGAACACTTGTTGTGAATGTGGAAAATAGTCTAATCTAGTGGACTAGCGCAAATGAAGAGGCATCCAATGCAGTGGACCAGTCAAAGTGATGCGTTGGGCAGTCGGGTCAGTATGCGCACCTATAATGGGCGTACCACGCAGAGTTCAGGCGCTCAAATTTTGAGAACCACGTGGAACGAAATGGAAACAATTGTTGCGGATGTAGAAAATAGTCTAATCTAGTGGACTAGCGCAAAAGAAGAGGCATCCAATGCAGTGGACCAGTCAAAGTGGTGCGTTGGGCAGTCTGGTCAGTATGCGCACCTAAAATGGGCGTACCACGCAGAGTTCAGGCGCTCAAATTTGAAGAACCACATGGAACGAAATGGAAACAATTGTTGCGGATGTAGAAAATAGTCTAATCTATTGGACTAGCACAAAAGAAGAGGCATCCAATGCAGTGGACCAGTCAAAGTGATGCGCTGGGCAGTCTGGTCAGTATGCGCACCTATAATGGGCGTACCACGCAGAGTTCAGGCGCTCAAATTTTGAGAACCACATGGAACGAAATGGAAACAATTGTTGCGGATGTGGAAAAAAGTCTAATCTAGTGGACTAGCGCAAAAGAAGAGGCATCCAATGCAGTGGACCAGTCAAAGTGATGCGCTGGGCAGTCTGGTCAGTATGCGCACCTATAATGGGCGTACCACGCAGAGTTCAGGCGCTCAAATTTTGAGAACCACATGGAACGAAATGGAAACACTTGTTGCGGATGTGGAAAATAGTCTAATCTAGTGGACTAGCGCAAAAGAAGAGGCATCCAATGCAGTGGACCAGTCAAAGTGATGCGCTGGGCAGTCTGGTGTGTATGCGCACCTATAATGGGCGTACCACGCAGAGTTCAGGCGCTCAAATTTTGAGAACCACATGGAACGAAATGGAAACACTTGTTGCGGATGTGGAAAATAGTCTAATCTAGTGGACTAGCGCAAAAGAAGAGGCATCCAATGCAGTGGACCAGTCAAAGTGATGCGTTGGGCAGTCTGGTCTGTATGCGCACCTATAATGGGCGTACCACGCAGAGTTCAGGCGCTCAAATTTTGAGAACCACATGGAACGAAATGGAAACACTTGTTGCGGATGTGGACAATAGTCTAATCTAGTGGACTAGCGCAAAAGAAGAGGCATCCAATGCAGTGGACCAGTCAAAGTGGTGCGTTGGGCAGTCTGGTCAGTATGCGCACCTATAATGGGCGTACCACGCAGAGTTCAGGCGCTCAAATTTTGAGAACCACATGGAACGAAATGGAAACACTTGTTGCGGATGTGGAGAATATTCTAATCTAGTGGACTAGCGCAAAAGAAGAGGCATCCAATGCAGTGGACCAGTCAAAGTGGTGCGTTGGGCAGTCTGGTCAGTATGCGCACCTATAATGGGCGTACCACGCAGAGTTCAGGCGCTCAAATTTTGAGAACCACATGGAACGAAATGGAAACACTTGTTGCGGATGTGGAGAATATTCTAATCTAGTGGACTAGCACAAAAGAAGAGGCATCCAATGCAGTGGACCAGTCAAAGTGGTGCGTTGGGCAGTCTGGTCAGTATGCGCACCTACAATGGGCGTACCAGGCAGAGTTCAGGCGCTCAAATTTTGAGAACCACATGGAACGAAATGGAAACAATTGTTGTGGATGTGGAAAAAAACTCTAATCTAGTGGACTAGCACAAAAGAAGACGCATCCAATGCAGTGGACCAGTCAAAGTGATGCGTTGGGCAGTCTGGTCATTATGCGCACCTATAATGGGCGTATCACGCATAGTTCAGGAGCTCAAATCTTGAGAGCCACATGGAACTAAATAGAAACACTTGTTGTGGATGTGGAAAATAGTCTAATCTAGTGGACTAGTGCAAAAGAAGAGGCATCCAATGCAGTGGACCAGTCAAAGTGGTGTGTTGGGCATTCTGGTCAGTATGCGCACCTATAATGGGCGTACCAGGCAGAGTCCAGGCGCTCAAATTTTGAGAACCACACGGAACGAAATGGAAACACTTGTTGTGGATGTGGAAAATAGTCTAACCTAGTGGACTAGCACAAAAGAGGAGGCATCCAATGGGGCGGGGTGATGGAAAGAGGGAGAATGGTGCGGGGTGATGGAAAGCGGGAGAATGGGGCGGGGTTATGGAAAGAGGGAGAATGGGGCGGGGTGATGGAAAGAGGGAGAATGGGCGGGGTGATGGAAAGAGGGAGAATGGGGGGGGTGATGGAAAGCGGGAGAATGGGGCGGGGTGATGGAAAGAGGGAGAATGGGGCGGGGCGATGGAAAGCGGGAGAATGGGGCAAAGTGATGGAATGCGGGAGAATCGGGCGGGTCGTGGAAAGCGGGAGAATGGGGCGGGGTGATGGAAAGCGGGAGAATGGGGCGGGGTGATGGAAAACGGGAGAATGGGGCGGCGTGATGGAAACCGGGAGAATGGGGCGGGGTGTTGGAAAGCGGGAGAATGGGGCGGGGTTATGAAAAGAGGGAGAATGGGGCGCGGTGATGGAAAGAGGGAGAATGGGGTGGGGTGATGGAAAGAGGGAGAATGGGGCGGGATGATGGAAAGCGGGAGAATGGGGCGGGGTGATGGAAAGAGGGAGAATGGGGCGGGGTGATGGAAAGCGGGAGAATGGGGCGGGGTGATGGAAAGAGGGAGAATGGGGCGGGGTGATGGAAAGAGGGAGAATGGGGCGGGGTGATGGAAAGCGGAAGAATGGGGCGGGGTGATGGTACGCGGGAGAATGGGGCGGGGTGATGGAAAGCGAGAGAATGGGGCGGGGTGCAGGAAAGCGGGAGAATGGGGCGGGGTGATGGAAAGCGGGAGAATGGGGCGGGGTGATGGAAAGCGGAAGATGGGGCGGGGTGATGGAAAGCGCGAGAATGAGGCGGGGTTATGGAAAGAGGGAGAATGGGGCGTGGTGATGGAAAGAGGGAGAATGGGGCGGGGTGATGGAAAGAGGGAGAATGGGGCGGGGTGATGGAAAGAGGGAGAATGGGGCGGGGTGATGGAAAGAGAGAGAATGGGGCGGGGTGATGGAAAGAGGGAGAATAGGACGGGGTGATGGAAAGAGGGAGAATGGGGCGGGGTGATGGAAAGCGGGAGAATGGGGCGGGGTGATGGAAAGCGGGAGATTCGGGCGGGGTGATGGAAAGCAGGAGAATGGGGCGGAGTGCTGGAAAGCGGGAGAATGGGGCGGGGTGATGGAAAGCGGGAGAATGGGCCGGGGTGATGGAAAGCGGGAGAATGGGGCGGGGTGATGGAAAGCGGGAGAATGGGGCGGGGTGATGGAAGGAGGGGGGTGATGGAAGGAGGGAGAATGGGGCGGGGTGATGGAAAGCGGGAGAATGGGGCGGGGTGATGGAAAGCGGGAGAATGGGGCGGGGTGATGGAAAGCGGGAGAATGGGGCGGGGTGATGGAAAGCGGGAGAATGGGGCCGGGTGGTGGAAAACGGGAGAATGGGGCGGGGTGATGGAAAGCGGGAGAATGGGGCGGGGTGATGGAAAGCGGGAGAATAGGGCGGGGTGATGGAAAGCGGGAGAATGGGGCGGGGTGATGGAAAGCGGGAGAATGGGGCGGGGTGATGGAAAGCGGGAGAATGGGGCGGGGTGATGGAAAGCGGGAGAATGGGGCGGGGTGATGGAAGGAGGGAGAATGGGGCGGGGTGATGGAAAGCGGAAGAATGGGACGGGGTGATGGTACGCGGGAGAATGGGGCGGGGTGATGGAAAGCGAGAGAATGGGGCGGGGTGCAGGAAAGCGGGAGAATGGGGTGGGGTGATGGAAAGAGGGAGAATGGGGCGGGGTGATGGAAAGCGGGAGAATGGGGCGGGGTGATGGAAAGAGGGAGAATGGGGCGGGGTGATGGAAAGAGGGAGAATGGGGCGGGGTGATGGAAAGCGGAAGAATGGGGCGGGGTGATGGTACGCGGGAGAATGGGGCGGGGTGATGGAAAGCGAGAGAATGGGGCGGGGTGCAGGAAAGCGGGAGAATGGGGCGGGGTGATGGAAAGCGGGAGAATGGGGCGGGGTGATGGAAAGCGGAAGATGGGGCGGGGTGATGGAAAGCGCGAGAATGAGGCGGGGTTATGGAAAGAGGGAGAATGGGGCGTGGTGATGGAAAGAGGGAGAATGGGGCGGGGTGATGGAAAGAGGGAGAATGGGGCGGGGTGATGGAAAGAGGGAGAATGGGGCGGGGTGATGGAAAGAGAGAGAATGGGGCGGGGTGATGGAAAGAGGGAGAATAGGACGGGGTGATGGAAAGAGGGAGAATGGGGCGGGGTGATGGAAAGCGGGAGAATGGGGCGGGGTGATGGAAAGCGGGAGATTCGGGCGGGGTGATGGAAAGCAGGAGAATGGGGCGGAGTGCTGGAAAGCGGGAGAATGGGGCGGGGTGATGGAAAGCGGGAGAATGGGCCGGGGTGATGGAAAGCGGGAGAATGGGGCGGGGTGATGGAAAGCGGGAGAATGGGGCGGGGTGATGGAAGGAGGGGGGTGATGGAAGGAGGGAGAATGGGGCGGGGTGATGGAAAGCGGGAGAATGGGGCGGGGTGATGGAAAGCGGGAGAATGGGGCGGGGTGATGGAAAGCGGGAGAATGGGGCGGGGTGATGGAAAGCGGGAGAATGGGGCCGGGTGGTGGAAAACGGGAGAATGGGGCGGGGTGATGGAAAGCGGGAGAATGGGGCGGGGTGATGGAAAGCGGGAGAATAGGGCGCGGTGATGGAAAGCGGGAGAATGGGGCGGGGTGATGGAAAGCGGGAGAATGGGGCGGGGTGATGGAAAGCGGGAGAATGGGGCGGGGTGATGGAAAGCGGGAGAATGGGGCGGGGTGATGGAAGGAGGGAGAATGGGGCGGGGTTATGGAAAGCGGGAGAATGGGGCGGGGTGATGGAAAGCGGGAGAATGGGGCGGGGTGATGGAAAGCGGGAGAATGGGGCGGGGTGATGGAAGGCGGGAGAATGGGGCGGGGTGATGGAAAGCGGGAGAATGGGGCGGGGTGATGGAAAGCGGGAGAACGGGGCGGGGTGATGGAAAGCGGGAGAATGTGGTGGGGTGATGGAAAGTGGGAAAATGGGGCGGGGTGATGGAAAGAGGGAGAATGGGGCGGGGTGATGGAGTGCGGGAGAATGGGGCGGGTGATGGAAAGCGGGAGAATGGAGCGGGGTGATGGAAAGCGGGATAATGGGGCGGGGCGATGGAATGCGGGAGAATGGGGCGGGGCGATGGAATGCGGGAGAATGGGGCGGGGCGATGGAAAGCGGGAGAATGGGGCGGGGCGATGGAAAGCGGGAGAATGGGGCGGGGCGATGGAAAGAGGGAGAATGTGGCGGGGTGATGGAAAGAGGGAGAATGGGGCGGGGTGATGGAAAGAGGGAGAATGGGGCTGGGTGATGGAAAGCGGGAGAATGGGGCTGGGTGATGGAAAGCGGGAGAATGGGGCTGGGTGATGGAAAGCAGGTGAATGGGGCTGGGTGATGGAAAGCGGGAGAATGGGGCGGGGTGATGGAAAGCGGGAGAATGGGGCGGGGTGATGGAAAGCGGGAGAATGGGGCGGAGTGATGGAAAGGGGGAGAATGGGGCGGGGTGGTGGAAAGCGGGTGAATGGGGCGGGGTGATGGAAAGCGGGAGAATGGGGCGGGGTGATGGAATGCGGGAGAATGGGGCGGGGTGATGGAAAGCGGGAGAATGGGGCGGGGTGATGGAAAGCGGGAGAATGGGGCGGGGTGATTGAAAGCGGGAGAATGGGGCGAGGTGATGGAAAGCGGGAGAATGGGGCGGGGTGAAGGAAGGACACGGTGAGAGCTGTGAGGGTATGGATGTTGAATGCGGTAGAGTACGGTGCAGTGCGTGTGGTGGAGCAGGCAGTGTGGTGGCTCACTTTTTGCATGCGCTGCGCGATCAAACGTGCGATAAGAATGCAGGCAAGCAAGCTGCTGCCCCGCCGCACGCCGCGGGTCACCTCCACGCCCACCGCCCTCTCCGTCACCTCCACGCCCACCGCCCTCTCCGTCACCTCCACGCCCACCGCCCTCTCCGTCACCTCCACGCCCACCGCCCTCTCCATCACCTCCACGCCCACCACCCTCTCCGTCACCTCCACGCCCACCGCCCTCTCCGTCACCTCCACGCCCACCGCCCTCTACGGCACCTCCACGCCCACCGCCCTCTACGGCACCTCCACGCCCACCGCCCTCTCCGTCACCTCCACGCCCACCGCCCTCTCCGTCACCTCCACGCTCACCGCCCTCTCCGTCACTTCCACGCCCACCGCCTCTCCGTCACCTCCACGCCCACCGCCCTCTCCGTCACCTCCACGCCCACCGCCCTCTCCGTCACCTCCACGCCCACCGCCCTCTCCGTCACCTCCACGCCCACCGCCCTCTCCGTCACTTCCACGCCCACCGCCCTCTCCGTCACCTCCACGCCCACCGCCCTCTCCTTCACCTCCACGCCCACCGCCCTCTCCGTCACCTCCACGCCCACCGTCCTCTCCGTCACCTCCTCGCCCACTGCCCTCTCCGTCACCTCCGCGCCCACCGCCCTCTCCGTCACCTCCACGCCCACCGCCCTCTCCGTCACCTCCACGCCCACCGCCCTCTCCGTCACCTCCACGCTCACTGCCCTCTCCGTCACTTCCACGCCCACCGCCTCTCCGTCACCTCCACTCCCACCGCCCTCTCCGTCACCTCCACTCCCACCGCCCTCTCCGTCACCTCCACGCCCACCGCCCTCTCCGTCACCTCCACGCCCACCGCCCTCTCCGTCACCTCCACGCCCACCGCCCTCTCCGTCACCTCGCGCACTAACCGCCGCACCACCGCCAGACTCAACTTTGGCGCCAGTGGGGGAGGGGCGGTGGGGGATGCATGTGGCATTCCGAATTGGAGCCGCAGGTCAGTGCGCTCCGGACACGCGCTCCGATGAGCACCTTGCGAGCACAGCTTGGTCCACGCCTGCTACAGGCTCCAGCTCAGCTGGTCGAACACCGCCGCGGGCACCACCACGCGCCCCGCCGGGCCTGTGCGCCGTGCGCGCGCCGCGCGCTGCTCTCCGCCGGCAGCCCAGGAGGCCCGGCGACTCCGCGAACGCAGTGGAGTGCTGGCGGCGAACAGCGACGATCGCAAAGGCGGCTGGGCGACTGCTCGAGGAGTCGCACGCGGGGGTGCTGCGACGGATGCGAGGTGGGCGTGCGATGTGAGCAACACAGCGAGCTGCTGCGAGTTGAGCGTCGCGGCCATGGTAGGATGAGGCGCAGCACGGAGGGTCGTCATCCTTACTCCTCGTGAAGAAGCTCTGTGAGGCGTTTTGGGTGGGAAGTGACGGGCGACGCGACGAACTCCAATGCTGCGACCGTGGACGAACGCTGCTGAAACCTCCTTTATTGAGCGGAACGTGATTTTGTTGTATTCTAGATTCGCCTTATGTTTTCTATGTTTAGTGTAAATGTATCTAACAACCACACATCTACTTTCTTTCTTATCTTCTTATGCATTCTATACCATAATTAACCAATCATTTCTAGAGATTGAAATATGAGATGCGATACATTGGCATTACTTTTGTTGGAGTGTGAAGGGAATCATACTTAGCATTCCCGTAGGTGCAGCAGTATCGCACCTGACTTTGTCGAAGCAGTAACGTTCGCAGTATCGGATCAGACCGTATCAAGGGCAGGAAGGTCAACAGTCGCAAGAGTCAACTATCGCGACTGTTGACCATCTGGACCGACGCTTGACTTACCATCGAGGAATAGCAACAGGCGTAACCGTACAGGTTACATGCAGCGACTCGGTAACAAGAAGGTAGTACAACAGTCAGATTCATTGTAGAAATGCCTGTAAAACAGTTATAATAAGGGAATGTATCCCTTAGAGTACATGGCTAGACTATGACTATTTATATTCCTTGTATTCTATCTTTTAATCAACTTGGTCATTTACATTCACTATGATCTGAGCTCTTACAAGACTTCCGCTACCAACTCTACCAAAAGCACCTCCTATCCTATCCAAGGTCCTCACTCTAACATGGTATGAGAGCTAGTTTGGATTATAGGATCTTCTAAAGGGGCTTCCAACAAAGCTTCTTTAAAACTTAATCTCAACATCATCAACATCAAGGGCATCAACATGCCAGGCGCAGACTGCGGAGAGGCTGGAAAAAATCCAGTGCAACCCTCCACCAATGTCGCCTCTACTACGACGACCGTGGACACAGCGCTCCTCGAGCAGCTGATCACCCGCATCAGTGCACTGGAGAGCCACCAGCCAATGAGCATTGACGGCTCAAGTTACGCCCGAAGACCTCCCGATCCTCAAGGAGCTGGATCCGAACGATCCTTCACCTTCGATAACCGCGGAGCTCAAGGATCTGCTCAAGCACAACAAACACATTACGAGGCAATGGCTTCAATGCAGAGCAAGTTCCTTTCCACGTCGAAGCTCAGAACTACCAAGCCCTTCGATGGACAAGACTTCTACACGTGGAGCTTCGAATTCGAACTACTAGCTCAGGGCGCTCAGGTCTGGATGTACTACGACGGATCATACCCCTTTCCCGCAAGCGGCTCACCTCAGGAGAAGACGCAATACTACAATGAATCGCTCCTGGCCTTCACCGTCCTGATCCGGAACTTGTCGCCCGAAGAGCAGCTGAGCATTCGCCCCTTCAAACACGAGTGGGCGCCCGCGCAGCAGTCCTGGGAACACCTGCGCACCTGCCACATGGCAACAGATTCGGTGACACTCAGTCGCCTGCTCAACCAGCTGAACAACGTCAAGATGTTTCCCGGCGAAAAGGCCGGACCATACGTCAACCGCTGCAGGAACCTGAGAGACCAATTCAGGAAAAGCGGCGGCAACTTCCCTGACGACATGTTCGTCACCATCATCCTTGCTGGATTGAGCCCGAAATGGCGCCAATGCAAGTCCCTCCTTCGCACACAAGGCACTCTCAGTGAGACTGCCCTCTGCTCCACGCTCCTCTCCGAGCAGAAGGAAATCGACCTATACAACGAAAGAGGCAACAAGAAGGAGAAGATCGCCTTTTACACACAAGCGCCACCGGACAATAAGACTCTTCTGCAAGTACTGCAAGAAGACTGGGCATATGATTCAAGACTGCTGGAAGCTGAACGGTAACAACAACAACCAGAAGGGTGCCACTGCTCACCAGAAAGAAGGAGCCGCAGCGCGCAACCAAACTGTGTCGCCGCCAGCCGTCGCCAGCACGTCCCAAGCCCCAGCGCGTCTCTCTGCAAACACAAGCGACAAGGGCAAAAGCAAGGTCCTGACTTGCATGGTGCGTCGTGGACCGCCTCGCCCCAACCGTCACTACCGCTTCTTCCGCAGCTGGGAAGACATGTTCGCAGACCCGCCTCAGGAGCGGCCCGAAGGATCAGTCGAAGAAGAAGAAGAGAACAATCCAACCTACGACGAGTTAACGATCGGACGGATGCAGTTCGACTGGGAAGCGCCGGAGTGGATTCAGGAGTCGCCACCTGCACGTATCAGCCCGTATCAAGGGCAGGAAGGTCAACAGTCGCAAGAGTCAACTGTCGCGACTGTTGACCATCTGGACCGACGCTTGACTTACCATCGAGGAATAGCAACAGGCGTAACCGTACAGGTTACATGCAGCGATTCGGTAACAAGAAGGTAGTACAACAGTCAGAGTCACTGTAGAAATGCCTGTAAAACAGTTATAATAAGGGAATGTACCCCTTGGAGTACATGGCTAGACTATGACTATTTATATTCCTTGTATTCTATCTTTCAATCAACTTGGTCATTTACATTCACTATGATCTGAGTTCTTACAAGACTTCCGCTACCAACTCTACCAAAAGCACCTCCTATCCTATCCAAGGTCCTCACTCGAACAACTTTTCCACAACCTGTTGAAAGGGGCTTGCCTTTTGTAGTATTTGGAAGGAAATTCTTCTCTGTATAACATTTCACATATCAGAAGGAGAACATCTTATTTCCACTGGCAGTTTAGCAAGTCGGCTCATAGCACGAATAGCCGACCAAAACGTTTCTCCGTCTCGGTGGCATCTGGCGCGGAAGTAGAGTCATCGCAACGGAATTTGTCCGCCATAACAGCCCCGTGCGCGTGCTTCAGTCACCGCTCTCAACCGTTCGCCTCGTTCCGCCCGTGTGTTCCCCCTTCGCGCGCCACTCCCCGCGCCCGCCCGCCATGACCTATTACCGCGCGCGCGGACACCCCCTCGATTCCCTCGTCGACCTCTCGCACCTCTCCTCCCTGCCCTCGCCCGCACACCCCTCCGCGCCCACCCGCAACGCACATGCGCTCGCGCAGCGGTTCTCCGCGCCCACCTCCCCTTCCGGCTCCTCCGTTCACTCCGCCTTCGGCCCCTCCTCCGCTTCTGTCATTCTCCCCCCTTCTTCCGCCTCCGCAATCCTTCCGCCCCCTGCCCGCGGAGGCTCCGCCAACTACCGCTTCGCGCTGACCAAGCCTGGCGCAGGGGAACCAGGCGGAGGGGGAACAGGCGCGGGCGGGGTAGGGGAATGGGTGGCGGATGCGTACGCGCAGCGGAGAGGGAGTGATGGGACGGGGGAAGGGGCTGGGCGAGGGGAAGGGCAGGGAAGCTTTGCGGAACGGGGGGAATCGACGCGAGGGGGTGAGAAGGTGTGGAGGTCCCGCGTGGACATAGGCGGGTCAGTGGAGGGTAGCAGTGGGTCAGGGGGGGAGGGAAGGGGAAGGCAAGGCGAGGAGGGCAATGTGAGTGTCGCGGTGAAAGCAACAGCTGCTGCTCGTATTGATCCTCCTGCTGCTGCTGCTCTTGAAGGTGCCGCTGCCACTGCCACTGCCACTGGTACTCTGGCTCCCACTGCTCCCCCTGCTCCCCCTGCTCCTCTCCGCCCGCCCTCCCCGCCCTCCGCCTCCCTTGCTGCGCATGCCTCCGCCCCGCCCCTCCACGCCCACACGTCATCCCTCGCCTCCCCTTCCCCTGCCACCCCCGCCCCAACATCCCCTGCCCCCACCACTCTCTCTGCTGCTCCCGCACCAGCAGCAGCACCAGCAGCAACCGCTGCCACTGCTCCACCTGCCCCCACTCACCACGCCTTCTCCCGCACTTCCTCCTCCTCTAATCCCACAGCCCTCCACCCATCATCCACCCCATCCCCCCTCTCCCCCCGCACTCACTTCGTCCCGCTCTCCTCCCCTTCTTGCCCGCACCCTGCCCTGCCCCTCTCCCCCTCCCCCACATACGACCTCCCTATTGCGCATTACAGCTCCTCTCCCTCCGCCAGTGCTTCCCCCTTTCCCCCTGCGCGCAGCCCCTTCTCCCCCCCGTCCGCAGAGCTCCTGGCAGGCGCAGCAGCGAGAGGGGCGGGCAGGGCGGGCAGGGAGGGGGGCATGGCGCGGGGAGGGGCGGAGCAGCTGTGGCGGGAGCGGGTCCTGGCAGCAGCAGGGGCGGCAGGGGGGGCTGCGCCCTCCGCTGCCCCCCCACCAGCAGCACTGGCGGTGGGGGGGGCAGGTGGGGCGGGGGAGTTGGTGGTGGGAGGACAGAGAGTGGACGCGGGGGGGCTGCTGGGGGGAGTGATGGCGCAGAGGCGCGCAGTGGGAGGAGGGGGGAGAGGGGGGGCAGGGGGTGTAGGTGGAATTGGGGCATGGTATGGGGTGGGCGGGGCAGGGGGGCTGGGGGGCGAACAGTATGGGGATGGGTACGGGGAGGCGCATAAGAGGAGGCGGAGGGGGGTGGTGGGGTTGGCGGTGGGAGCAGCGGAGCAGGTGTGGCGGTGGTGGCTCGAGGCAGAGTGGGTGAGGGACTGGGCGAGGGACGGCAGAGAAGGCAGGGAGCAGAGAGACGGCAGGGAAGAGAGGGATGGGAGAGAGGGGAGAGAGGGGAGAGAGGGCAGGGAGGGGAGGGAGGGGAGGGGTGCACGGAGAAGGCAGGTGGCGATGGTGGGGTTGGGTGCGGTGGGCGGCTGTGTGCTTCTGGGGCTGCTGCTGCTGCTGCTGCTGCTTGCTAGCCCGTCCCTGCCCTCCACTCGCAAGGTGGGCCACCTGCGTGTGCTGCTGCCCACTCGTGCCTTGCTGCTGCCCCTGCTTGCACCACACTGCTGCCATCCCTCCCATGCTGCCGCCACACTCTCGCAGTCGGTCACTCACTCACTCACTCACTCACCCACTCACTCGGTCACTTACTCACTCAGTCACTCACTCACTCACTCACTCGGTCACTCACTCGGTCACTCACTCACTCACTCACTCACTCGGTCACTCACCCACTCACTCACTCGGTCACACACTCACTCACTCGGTCACCCACTCACTCACTCACTCACTCATGCCAACCAGGGCCACTCCCTACCTGCCTGGCTCTTCCGCCCCAGCAGCACCCGCCCAGCCACGACTCTCCAACACCCGCAACCCCATCCCTTGCTCTCTCCCCTCCCTTCTACCCCTCCACCCTCCCCATCCCAACCCCCACTCCCCACACAGCAGGCGGCAGGAGAACCCTCGCCCCGGGCGGCATCAGGAGCAGCAGCGGTGCACTCTGACTTACTGCTGCACGCCCAGGCCGACCTGGCCCGCCTGGCTCCTCCATAACCCCCATTCTCCCCATGCCCCCCATTCCCCGTTCCCCCACGCTCACACCAGGCCGAAGGTGACCCCTCGCCCCGGGCGGTGTCAGGCAGCACAGCAGCAGCGGTGCACTCTGACCTGCTGCTGCACTCGCAGGAGGACTTGGCGCGCCTGGAGGGCGCGGAGGAGGGGCAGTCGTGCTGGGCGCTGCACGAGCGCCCGCTGCTCCTCCCGCCCTCGCCCCACTCGCCCTCCCCCGCGCTGCTCTCCGCTCTCCGCGCCTACGAGCGCATGCACGAGGTGAGGGGGAGAGGAGGGAGGGTGAGGGAGGGGTGGTGATGGGGTTGGGGGGGGAAGTGTGGGGGACAAGGGGGATGGATCCCTGCGCTGCTCGCTTCTCTCCGCGCCTACGAGCGCATGCACGAGGTGAGGGGGGTTTGGGAAGGGGAGGGGAGGGGTGCTGGTGGAGTGGTAGAGGGGGGAAGAGAGGGATGGTTATCGTGGTATGCTGCCATTCATGCATGCACACCCATCGACTCTCTTTCCCATGCGCTTCTCATCTCCGTCTGCCCCCCATCCATCTTGCTCTCTCCTCGCCCCATGCGCCTCGCCGCATGCATCTCTCTCCCCATGCGTGGCCGTGTGTGTGCGTGTGTGTTCACAGGAGTGTGTGGCGGGCGTGCAGAGCTGGGAGGCACACGCAGAGAAACTGGAGGCGCCACGAAGCACATGCAGGTGAGCGGGCGGCCATGGTGAGCGGGCGGCCATGGTGTGCTACGAGCCTCCCCTTCGTTGCACCCCCAATCCACCTCCCTTGCTTTCCCCGCCGTTCACGCCCTCACTGGCACACCGCGCAGGTACCCCCGACCCACCTCCTCCTTCCGCACATGCTGCGCCTTACAGCCTCCTCTCATCCTACCAGCTCTTCACTCCACTCACAACCCCCTACTCTCTCCAACCCCCCTCGCCCCGCCTCGCCCCGTCCTCACCTACCCCCCCTTGCGCAGCTACCTGGTGTGGTACGAGCCACAGACGCGCCCCAGTGTGGCGCAGCGCCTGCTGTCGCTGCTGTCCGCCTTCCTCTATGCGCTGCTCACCCACCGCGCCCTGCTAGTTGACACTCACGGCGACCTGCCCAGGTGACGCCCGTACCGCTTTCACTCCCTCTCGCTGCTCTCCGCTTTCACTCCCTTTCGCTGCTCTCCGCTTTCACTCCCTCTCGCTGCTCTCCGTAGGTGGGACTGATAGGTGGGACTGATAGGTGGGACTGATAGGTGGGACTGATAGGTGGGACTGATAGGTGGGACCGATAGGTGGGACTGATAGGTGGGACTGATAGGTGGGACTGATAGGTGGGACTGATAGGTGGGACTGATAGGTGGGACTGATAGGTGGGACTGATAGGTGGGACTGATAGGTGGGACTGATAGGTGGGACTGATAGGTGGGACTGATAGGTGGGACTGTCGGAAACTTCTGCATCACCTGCTCCCACTCGATGGCTGCCCACAGTGGCTTAGCTACCTATCAGTCCCTTCCCGCGCTCCTCCTGGTGGCTGCCCGCTCTGCCTCATTCACTCTGCCACATCCCTCCCGCGTCTCTCCCTCTTTTCATCTCCCCTCCCCTCCCCCCCTTCCCGTCAGTCTGCTGTGCAACCCCTTCCCGCGCTCCTCCTGGTGGCTGCCCGCGGGCCTGCCAGAGCATTTCCGCCTGCACCCGCCGCACCAGGGCGAGTGGGTCAACGGAAGCACCAGCAACAGCTTCTTCGCTGTGAGTCGGTGTGAGCGCGAGGGACGGAGGGTAGAGAGATGCGAGTGAGGGCATGAGAGAGGTGGGTGGGTGAACGGGAGAGAGAGGGGAGAGGAGAGGGAGGAATGAAGCAGGAATGAGTGAGGGAAACGGGACGGGAGAGAGGGTGAGGCTGTCTGCTGGTGTCGTCTTTTCACATGCACTTTCCTCTCCCTCTCCCTCCTTCCCCTCTTCAACGTATTCCTCTTGTCTTTGTCCCTTCTTCCCACCCCTTCCCCATCCGGTCGTGCCCCCACCAGCCACTCAACCGCAGGGACGTGGCGACCATCTACTTTGAGGTGAGTGAGGCTGCTGCCGTGCCCATGCCCATGCACATTCACATGCACACCTACCTGCTGTTCCCACGTGGGTACCATCGCGCATGCAGCACAGGACTTGCCTGCAAGCGTGACCCCTCGTCTCCCCTCGTCTCCCCACCTCCTCACTTGCCACCCCGTTCTTCCCTTCCCCATCCTCGTCTTCCCAACTTCCCGTCCCTCTCCTCCCTGTCCCACCCGTCCACCCACCGCGTCCCCACGGCAGGAGCAGCGCTACCCGTGGGACGAGCAATTCGTCTCTTCCTCCATGCACACCCACCTCTTCCTCCATGCACACCCACCTCTTACTCCATGCACACCCACCTCTTCCTCCATGCACACCCACCTCTTCCTCCGTGCACACCCACCTCGCCCTCCATGCACACCCACCTCGCCCTCCATGCACACCCACCTCGCCCTCCCCGCTGTCCCACCTGCTGTCCCTCCCCCTCCCTTCCACCCCAAGCACCCACCTTCCCCACCACCCAGGCACAGCGCTACCCATGGGACGAGCAGTTCTTCTGCTCCTCCATGCAGACCCAGCTGGCCCGCAACGCCACGTGGCTCGCCATGCTCTCCGACCAGCACCTGCTGCCCACTCACTCCCTTCCATTCCCTTCTCTTTCCTTCCCTCCCCGTCCACCCCATTCACCCACCGCACCCCCCCACCAGGCACAGCGCTACCCATGGGACGAGCAGTTCTTCTGCTGCAAGCCCAGCTGGCCCTCCCTGCCTTCCCACCTGCTGCCTCTTGCCTTACTGTCCCTCCCCTTCCCTTCCAGTCCATTCACACCCCCTTCCCCACCCCATCCCCACCACCCAGGCACAGCGCTACCCATGGGACGAGCAGTTCTTCTGCTCCTCACGTGTAGCCCTTTGCTTGCCTTCCCTCCCCTCCCCGTCAAACCCAATCACCCTCCCCATCCACCACCCAGGCACAGCGCTACCCATGGGACGAGCAGTTCTTCTGCTCCTCACGTGTAGCCCTTTGCTTGCCTTCCCTCCCCTCCCCGTCAAACCCAATCACCCTCCCCATCCACCACCCAGGCACAGCGCTACCCATGGGACGAGCAGTTCTTCTGCTCCTCCATGCAGGCCCAGCTGGCCCGCAACGCCACATGGCTCGCCATGCTCTCCGACCAGCACCTGCTGCCCACTCATTCCCTTCCAATCCCTTCCCGTTCCTTGCCTCCCCGTCCACCCCATTCACCCACCCCATCCCCCCCACACCCCAGGCACAGGGCTACCCATGGGACGAGCAGTTCTTCTGCTCCTCCATGCAGACCCAGCTGGCCCGCAACGCCACGTGGCTCGCCATGCTCTCCGACCAGCACCTGCTGCCCTCGCTCTTCCTGCTGCCCGCCTTCCACCGCCCGCTGCACCGCCTCTTCCCCTCCCGCGTGCTGCTGCACCCGCTCGCGCGCTACCTGCTGCTGCCCGCCAACGCCGTGTGGGAGCGCGCGCTCAGGGCGCACCAGGGGCACCTCGCGCACGCGTGGCGGTCCGTGGGCGTGCAGCTTGCAAGTGGGGGGAGCGTGGCAGCGAGGGAGGCGATAAGAGAGGTGGGTATGGGGGGGAAGGAATGAGGGTGTGGGGGGGGGAGGGAGGATGCCAGGGGGTGCGTGCTGCTGCACCCACTAGCACGCTACCTGCTGCTGCCTGCCAATGCCGTGTGGGAGAGGGCGCTCAGGGCGCACCAGGGCCACCTGGCGCACGCGTGGCGCTCTGTGGGCGTGTAGTTGGTGGATGGGGGGAGCGTGGCGGTGAAAGAGGCGATGAGGGAGGTGTGTTGGGGGGAAGGGGAGGGATGAGGGTGGGGGGGAAACGAGAGGCATGGGTGTGAGGGGGATGCTTCGGTTTCTTTGCAACTCCCATTGCTGTGGAAGCAGCACGCCTGGCACCATCTCATCTCATGCATGCCATCCCACTCGTCTCCCTCACCTCACCCTCTTGTCATCACCCCCCTTTCACCCCACCTCCCAACTTCCCCCCAGCAAGCCCTGGAGTGTGGCATGTCACACGGCGTGCTACCGCTGCCCCTGGCGCCCTCGCAGCTGGCCGCTTTCCTCAACCACTCCTCCCGCGCTCGCCACCTCTCCCTCTCCTCCCGCTCCCTGCTGGATGGGGCCGGAGAGGAGGGGAAGGAGGGCGGCGAAGGGGGAGGGCAGGGGGATGGGCAGGGGGAAGCCAAGGGGGAGGGGAAGGGGGAAGGGGCGAGTGGAAGGGTGGGCAGGAGCGGGGGGAGCAGTCCTCAGCGGCGACGGTTTGGGCTATTCTCTCGCCCGCGACGGGGCGAGGAGGCAAGGGCGGCATCACACAAGAAAGAGGGGAAGGGGGGAGCTGGCGTGGGTGCAGGCGGGCAGACAAGAGTACAGAGCGGGGAAGCAAGCTCGATCTCTCATGATGCTGCTGGCGCTGGTGGTGACAGTGAGGGCGAAACCAGGAGCAGCAGCAGCGGCGGGGTGGTGAGGGGGAGGGCGAGGGCGCGGGTGGTGGCAGTGTTTGTGGCGGCGGACAGCTTCGCGGCGTTCAAGTTCTTCAAACGCGCCTACGCGCAGTGGCCCACTGAGGACCACAGGTGAGCGCGCAGTGGCCCACTGAGGACCACAGGTGAGCGCGCAGTGGCCCACTGAGGACCACAGGTGAGCGCGCAGTGGCCCACTGACGACCACAGGTGAGCGCGCAGTGGCCCACTGAGGACCACAGGTGAGAGGCATGAGCGGCATGGCGTAGAGAGGTGCATAAGTGAGAGGCATGGCATAGAGAGGTGCACAAGTGAGAGGCATGGGGCCCTTGTGGTTGCTTGGTGTGTGGTTTCCCGGGCGACCGCATGTGTGGGGTAGGTGGGAGCAATGGAGGGCGGATTAGGTGCAGCACCAATGCACAGGTGAGCGGCATGAGAGTCATGGCGTAGAGAGGTGCACAAGAGAGAGGCATGGGGCCCTTGTGGTTCGTTGGTGTGTGGTTTGCCGCATGTGTGGGTTAGGTGGGAGCGATGGACGGCGGAAAAGGTGCAGCACCAATGCTGCCCTCCCATCTCTGCCTCCCTTCGCTTCTCTGCCTCTCCTCTCCTTGCTCATTCCATCCCCACCCATGCATGGCATGATCTCTGATCCCCCCTCTGGGCTGCCATGGCAGTGTGGTGGCGGTGCATGCTGAGGTGGAGGATGACTCGGAGGAGCGCCTGCTGTCGGCCAATCAGATGGAGATGCTGCGAATCTGGCTGCTCAGCACGTGCCAGGTCATCATTGCCAGGTCAGAATGGGTGTTTTCTCTCCCTCCCCCCTCTCAGTCCTCCGTGCATTGCGCTTCTGCATCCTTGCGCATCCCACATGCAGTCTGCCAAATACGGTGCTCGGTCCCCCATTCTCCTTCTCCCACTCTCTTCTCTCCATTCTCCTCTGCCCCACCCATCTCTCTCCACTCTCCCCCCTTTCCCCCCACAGCCCGGCATCAGCAGAGGGCTATCTAGCCAGCGGCCTTGCCGGCCGCCCTCCCTTCCTGCTCTCACCCCCTCTTCCCACCACCGCCACCACCGAGAGTCACAACGGCGACCCAGCAGCAGCAGCAGTAGTGGCAGCCGCAGCAGCAACAGGAGGGGTGGGGCAGGGCGGGTGCACGCGCAGTTGGTCAACAGAGGGGTGTCACCTGGGGGCGCCACTGTCCCTCATATGCTCATCATACCCGCGTGGGGACGGGTCGGCCGGGGTGAGGGAGCGAGGGCACCGCTCCACCGACCCGGCACGCTGGCTGCCCTTCCTGCGCCGCTGCCCCGACCACCCCCAGGGACTCACCCTACTGCCCAAGCTCACTCACCCTGACCCATGACGGAGTGGGATGCGGTGTGGTGTGGCGTGGCATGGTGTTGGTGTGAGTTGACGTGGCGTGGCGTGGCATGAGGATGTGATGGTCAAGAGGAGGGCTGGGTGGACAGGACAGGGAGCAGCTACTGGTGTGAGACAAGCTGGGGAAAGGGAGAGGCTGTGGCGTGCAGGATGGTGGTCTGGATCAAGGAGCATTTTTGTACACTAAACCCTGAGTATCTTGGTTTGTGAACAAAGAACAACAATGATTTGGATTGCGCTTGCGCAGTAATTTTACTTCCAAGGGCCTTACAATACAGGATTCCAAAAGGCACTAGCATACATGCTTGCATATAAACAGCTTTTCAAAGTGACTGCTACAGTGACATGCCGCTGCCACTGCTGCTGCTCAGCTTATTGTCTTCTTTATTGGCGCCCCCGGCTGCCTTGCAACGCCCGGAGCCACACGGGGTGTGCAGCACACAGCTGCACGGCGTATATGGGGGGAATGGCAACGTGGGCAGGTGGCATGCTCTTATTGGTTGGCGCTGAACACAAGGCGGGCCTCATTACCACATGGGACGCAGTGCAAGGGATCATGGGGGAACCGTGGTCGTGAGTCATGCAGCGCGGGGTGTTATAGCTCGCGCATGGGGAGGGCAGAGTGTCAGGCAGGGAGGGGGATGGAGGGGAAGGCCGAGAAGGCGCAATCCGGTCGGGTGATGGCAGATGTCACATAATCCCCTGCGGAACCTTCCAGGAACCCATCTCCCTTCTCGCCCTCTTGCCCCGCGCGCAGCAGCAGCCCAGACAGGTGCGAGTACGTGAGATCCCTGTGCTGCCCGTCGGGCGTCTCCCGGAACGTCTGCCCCAACACGCCGTGGATGGCGGGCGTCGTCTGCAGGTCCATGAACTCGATTATGAAGTGCGCCTCCGCCTCCCCCATGCTCTGCAGCAGCGGGTGCGCCACGCGCGCGCGCACGTTGATCTCCGCCAGCCCCTGAATCATCACCGCGTATTGATCCACGTCCATCCCCCCGTCTGTCTCTTCCGCCACCTTCGCCACTACCAGTCCCCCCGCGCCCTCCGCCGCCGCGCCCACCTCCGCGGGGACTGCGACCTGCACGCCGTCCATCTCCGCCAGCGCTAGGAAGCCCTCGCGCCCGCGCGCCTGCTGCTTCCCCCCGCGCGCGACGAGTCGAAGCGTGTGCGGGCGCCCCTCGTGCCCCACCCACACCACGCCCACCTCCTTGATCCACGCGCGCAGCCCTGCGGACCCGTGCGCGCGGACATGCGCGCGCGCGGTGGGGGTCGATTGGCCGCGGAGGGAGGCGGTGGAAGCGGAGGCGGAGAGGGGGTCGGCGGGGAGGGCGGGCAGGCGGTCGGGGTCGTAGCCGGACAGGCGGATGTTGACGTGGATTCGGCGGTCGCTGAGTAGGCAGAAGGTGTTGCTGAGCTGGCTGTCGGGGTCCAGCGTGGCGAGGTCGGATTGGGTGGGGCGGCGGAGCGTGAGGGGGGAGGCGGGGATGGCGGAGGAGTTGCAGATGCCGCCCACCCTGTTGATGGAAAAGAAGGGGGAGGGGGGGAAGGAGAGCGGGCAAGCAGAGGGTTAGAAGCGGAAGGATTAGGAATGGGCGGAGAGGGGCAGAGTAGACGCGAGCAAAATCACGAATGAAAAAGCAGTGATGTGCGACGACGTGACATTGGAGAAAAGGGTCCGAGGAGCGGTTCAAGGGCGGGTGGCGGAAGGGCGGGCGGTACCAGCTCTGCGGGAAGTAGGGCGCCATGATGCGCTGCTCCTCCGCCTCTCCGCTGTACGGCGTCTTGAAGTGCCCCGCCACGCCCGCTCCGCCGTCCGCCCCCAGCAGGTAGCACTGCGCGCCGGCCACGAACCCGCGCACGTTGGCGTTGCGGCGCTGCTGCGCGCTGGGGAACCAGTGGTACTGCAGGCACAGCGGGGACGCCGCGCACGCCGCGCAGCACCCCTCTAGCGTGCTGCCGGGGCGGCCCCGCACCACTTCCACGTAGTTTCCGACCTCCTGTTGGCGGGGAGAGGGACGGATTCGAGCGCGAAAGGTGGAGGAAGAGGAACGAGAAAGAGGAACGTGAGACGGTGGCCACGGTGGGCGACGGGCGATGAGCCATGGTAAGAGAACATTAAACACGAAAACGGCTTATGAAGAAGTACGTAAGACATGTGGAGTTAAAGGAAACGGACTGGAAGGGACAGTTACGAACGAGAGCGTAACAGTAACGAGCGAGACAGCAGTGAGAGCTTGACTGACCTGGTAGACCTCGAGGTTGACGGAGCCCGAGCCGTGCTCGTGGGGCACGAGGCGCCCTCCGTGGCTGTTGAAGGCGCCGTTGAACGACCCGATCTGATCGAATCGCCGGAAATTGACGGCGTTGATTCGCGCTCGCTCCAAGCCTCGAAGTTTTCCGCACTGGCAGCCATCTAATGGGAGATTGGCGGCCGAGGCTTGACGAGCGACGAGGAGTAGGGCGAAGAGGAGCAGTACGGATACTAGCGATGAGAGAGTACTAGCGCGAACGGTGGAAGGTTTGGCAGGAGCCATGGTGGCTACCTAAGACGGCTGCTTGGCTTAGGACTGAAGCTGGAGGAGATGAGATGAGACAGGCGTAATTGGTAAGGATAAGACAATAGCTGGTGTGCAAGAGAAATATGTGGCGGTGGTTGGGGATATAAATTTATGAATGGATGGAGAGATGGCCTGAAGTTCGACGTCAAGGATGCGACGACCGAGTGAATAGCGAGCTGTAATTTCTACCGCAATTATTGGAGTTGCGTGATGGTTGGTGCCTGGCGAGTCACCTGGATGCTCTCCTGTGAATTATTCTGCTGGAAGCCATGGATGGAACCCTATTTTATTTCACCCGGATTGCGACCTGCAAAGCCACCCGCGCAGCGGACCCAACTTCAAGAATATTGCGCCCCGCTATGCCCTTCCCCGCATAACCTCTCCGCATGTGTTCCGTCAGGCGGAGGGGGAAAATTCGTGGGGCGGTGGATTCCAAACAGTTCGTGTGTGGTGGTGCTGACGGCGGCACCTGTGCGCCCAGCCTAGCTCGGGGGTGCTGTGGCGGGAATGTTTTATTGGAGTTGCGGAAAATAATTCGATTTCGTTTCGCCTCATTTCGGAAGGCGACGCGTCGTGGCCCATGGTCCGAGTGGGCGATTGTGGCGAGCGAGCGACGCGAACTGGGTTTTGGAAAAGCGGAGCCAAGCAAAACTGGATTTGACGCAACGGGCATGGCGAGTTTCGCCCAGCTCGGCGCGGAGCCTGTAGTGTCTCTGAGAGAAAGCTTTGGGGTTGCGATGGGGTGGGACTTTAGGTTTGCGAAAAAGAGTGAAAGCGAGGTATTTCGCCGAAGCTGGAACGGATCGCGCGGGGAGTTGACAGCAAAGACCCGTGTGGTGAGGTGTTGGCGACAGCCACGGAGTGTGTTGCCTAGTGGCGGAATGAGCGAGACGAGAGATGGGTCACGAGTGTGTCTTGGGTAGCTAACAGCGCGTACATTCACTTGATGCATCACAGCCCTTTATGACATTGAAGGTAGTATGTTGATTCATCATGGAGGTGTACAATCAGCCAAATACACAACTACGAGAAGTGAGGCAAACACACACACAAAAAAGGCACGAAATTGTCAGAACATATATAGCTTATGCTGTTGTGTAGGCTATAGTGGGGTATCCCATAGGGGGTACAACCCAATTAGGGTTTTCTATATGTACTCACCTCATTCATAGTTCATTCATCCTCGTTCTTCATTCTTCTCATGGTATCGAGCAGGTTCCCTCGTGGGAACTGTTCCTAGGGCCCACCGTTTTTTTTTCCTGCCCGGAGCGCACTCTGCCCCTACCCGAGTCGCGCTCCCCTCTCTCTTGGCCCCTAGTGGCCCCTTTAGCCGCCCGTCACGGCCCTTAGACGCCCGCGCGCCGCCCGTCCCGGCCCCTTAGACGCCCGCGCGCCGCCCGTCCCGGCCCCTAGACGCCCGTGCGCCACCCGGCCCGGCCCCTAGACGCCCGCGCGCCGCCCGTCCCGGCCCCTAGACGCCCGCGCGCCGCCCGTCCCGGCCCCTAGACGCCCGCGCGCCGCCCGTCCCGGCCCCTCGACGCCCGCGCGCCGCCCGTCCCGGCCCCTCGACGCCCGCGCGCCGCCCGTCCCGGCCCCTCGCCGCCCGTGAGCCGCCCGTCCCGGCCCCTAGACGCCCGCGCGCCGCCCGTCCCGGCCCCTAGACGCCCGCGCGCCGCCCGTCCCGGCCCCTAGACGCCCGCGCGCCGCCCGTCCCGGCCCCTCGACGCCCACGCGCCGCCCGTCCCGGCCCCTAGACGCCCGCGCGCCACCCGGCCCGACCCCTAGACGCCCGCGCGCCGCCCGTCCCGGCCCCTCGACGCCCGCGCGCCGCCCGTCCCGGCCCCTCGACGCCCGCGCGCCGCCCGTCCCGGCCCCACGCCGCCCGTGAGCCGACCGTCCCGGCCGCGCACCGCAGTCCCGGCCCCACGCCGCCCGTGCGCCGCCCGTCCCAGCCGCGCGCCGCCGTCTCGGTCCCCACGCCGCCTGTGCCGCTGAGGAGCTGAGCCGCCCGAGCCGCCCGAGCCGCCCGCACCGCCCGAGCAGCCCGAGCCGTGCTGCCCCTCAGCAGCACAACCGAGCCGCCCGACAGCAGAGCAGCCGAGCCGCCCAGCAGCCGAGCCGCTCAACAGCCGAGCCGCCCAGCAGCCGAGCCGCCCAGCAGCCGTGCCGCCCAGCAGCGGAGCCGCCGAGCCGCCGAGCCGCCCGGCAGCCGAGCCGCCGAGCCGCCGCGCCGCCCTCCTTCCGGGCCGCCCGACCTGTCCAGTCTGGTGAGCACAGCGCCCTTTCACTGCACTGCCCTCACCCTACTGTTTGCGCTGCCAGTCGTCTAGGGTCATGGCTACCCCTAGTGTTCTAGTCTTTGACGCTGAGGGTCGGGCCATTGACTTTGAGGTCTGGGTGGATGACCTGCAGCTGTTCTTACAGT